AGAGTCTTAGGGGTCCCATATTATATGAGCGAATGACGTTTTAGCGAATAGCGACATTTGAGCGAATCGACGTTTTAGCGAATAACGGGGGCGCGCGTTAACCCATCCGCCGCACTGCGCTTTCGCCGCTTCGCCCCGGCGACAGTCTGCGGCGGCTCACTACAAAAATGTGAACCCATTTGGCCCACCCGAAAACGCCGCTTCGCGGCGTCAGACTATTCGCTAAAGTGTCATTCGGTGAAACGTGGGCGTTCGCTGAAACGTCATTCGATCAAGTGAGTGCCTCCCGAGTCTTAGAGCCATTTTTACATTGAAGCGTTATTTATTTCGCAGCCATTTTTATGCAAACAGCAATGATCACACCTCCACCTGCTGCACAGGATGAGTGTGTGAGATTTTAGTTTTTCGGAGCTTTAATTTGGAATAAATGGCATACATGATACATCTATGTACGTTATTGAGTTCAGTGTTGTGTATTCGTCGCGTACTTACATGTGATATGGTGTATTAATAGATCTATGTCAATTGATTCCACTTTGGGAAACTCGTGTCAAAATAAATTGAATTTCTGAATGTCAACACTGCGCCTTTCTTTTTACCAGTTCAATCTCACGTAACCCCACACCAACCGGCCGGAATAGCCGGTTTCTTCTTCGAGGAAAGGTGGCAGCCTTCTTTACCATGTCAAGGGCCGTAAGCGAACGATGTCGTCGCCCCTTTATGCACAACCATAGCCTCCTCTATACTCACGAAGCCTGACAGTTCGACGACGGAGCTATATAGGGCCCGGTCGCAGATTTGGAGCACGAGGATCTTCTAGCACAGAGCATCAAAGAGCCATTTCTTGGAGGGGAACTTGGACGTCAGCAAGCAGCTTTTGGAGCGGCGAGTACCTATAAACACACTTGTTCGCTCGCGAGACGTGTATTTCGGCGTCTCGCCGTAACGGGACGCCCAGTCACGTGGCTCTCCTCTCATCCGTTGTCAGCCGTTCCACCTTTTCCATTTCGGCAGCCGCTTCTTCTGGCGGTCTGCCAGGCTTTGTCAGTGTATGGCTAAGGCACAACATGCGCGGCAACCGTCGACGTTTGGAGAGCAGAGATTGGCCCTCCGAAGACGCGGATCGAGGGACGGTGAGCTGGCCAGTGGCGTCGGAACAAGGAGGAGGGGGAAGGGGGCGAAAGGTTGCCCTTCTCCCCAGACAGTTGAGAAATTTAATTGGAAGATGCAGGGAAAGGGGCGCGAAATCGCTGTCGCCTCCCCACCTCGACCGCTGTCGCCCCTCACCACGATCGCCATCGAACCCCCCCACCCCCCCCCCCCCCCCCCCCCCCCCAACAAAACGGTTGTCATGATAATGATAATGATAATACTTATTTGCACTCAGCAAGAGATGCCGGTGAGAGCAGAAAGACCGAGGGTCCGTGCCAGAGGCCTGCAGCACCAAAAGGAGAAAAAAAAATGAAGGTAAAGAAGGAGGACTGGGAAATCCCTATAGTAAGTCGTGGCCGACACCGCGGAAGCCCCAAAACCAGCCAGCGGCGCAGGCGCCCCACTGCACCCTACAGTCAGTGGTCACGTAGGGCGCTCTGCAACACAACCTGCTCGATGGTCCGCAGCCTCCGCCACAACCCACCCCAGGGCAAACCGGGATGCTACATTACACATTCGGTTCATTCAGCACGCAGGTGTCTGGCGATGGCACTGCAGAACGTTCTACATTCCTCCTTATTTGTGGGGAGATTGTCCGTCAGTTCACAGGGCAGTGAGCGCCATAGGTCTACTGACCGCACCAGGAAAGAGCCTCTATGACGCTCTGTGCGAGATAGAAGGGGCTGTAGGGTCCCTGTACGGGTTTTCCGCACTTGCAAAAGAGGCAGCGATTTTTCGTCAAATTGGAGAACGAGAGCCAGGAGTCGCATCGAGGAGACTTTGCGACAAGTGGACAATGGGGCCCAGTGAACCGCGCGCAGCAGTTGGGCTGTTCCGATATCCCGATAAGGGGTACCAGCGGGGACTGCTGGCGAAGGCTGACGTATGCTGCTCGTCGCTGAACACTCTCCAGAGCAGCTACTAAGTGTACTTGCGCAGGATCCCAAATAGAACTGCAATACTCTAGGTGGGGGAGCACCAGTGCAGTGAAGAGGTGTTTCAGAGTTTGTGGGCCCATTCCCCTGGATACCCGCAGAGCAAAGCCGAGCATCCTTCGGGCTTTGGATAGAACACTGCTGATATGGTTAGTGAAGCGCAACTTGCTGTCAAGGGTTACACCAAGCAGCCTTATGGCAGCAACCCGACGCAAGGGGGTCCCGGCAAGGTTGGGAGCTTGGCGGGAAAGCTGCTGCTGATGGTGGTGAACAAGCACTGAGGTACACTTTGCCTCGTTCAGAGCCGAGCGGTTCATGCGAGACCACCGGACGACAGCGTTGAGGTCTTCTTGCAGGCGTGGGTAGTCAACGCTGGGACGAGCTACCGGCATAATCAGGGTCAAGTCGTCGGCGTAGAGCAGGGGTTTGGAGACCAGGTTGACGGTGATGTCATTTACAGAGATGGGCAGTATTTCAAATACATTTGAAATACGTATTTCAAATACTTTGTGTATTTTGCATTTGTATTTAATTACAAATTGGGTAATGTATTTGACGTGTGTATTTAAATACTAAAACGTGGGTATTTTAAATACAATTATAATTAAATACAATTTTGTGGGCGAAAATACATCTTGTTTTTATGCATGTGGTTGTAAGATATAGTCTCCATTCTTTATTCGGCCATGGGGCTTTTTTTCTTTTTCTCCTCTGGCTTTATTTCAAAGGCACTGACCAGAGCAGGAAGAAAACTACGTTCTGCACCGAATGCAGTGTCTCTCAATCAAGCACAAGCGTTTAGTGACTTTGTGATTACGGTGCTAGTCCAGGGCAGGAATGGTGACAAAATCGACTTTCACAGGCAAACTGGCTAAGTAACTGCCTGTGACAACTTGTGATGCTTTCCAGCTTAATTTCCATCCATATTTTTGCCTGGAACATTCTAAATGCGCGGGTCGTCCAGATTTTCGTAACTGGTGCGAATTGCAACAATAAAAAATTCTCTAGCTAGTGCTGCGCGTCTTGGTCGTCTCGGTTCTTTGTTGGTCTATACCAAAATGTAATCCACAAAAAAAGCTGCGTGAAGCTATAATTTTTTCACCTATTACATCCAAGCTGATTACATTTTTTTATTATATTTCAGTTACGTTACTAGAGCCTCGCACACTAACTTCCGAGTGTGCGATGAAAAATTAAAATGATATACCCAGAAACTTGTTGCAGGTGCCCTCAAGTCGCTGACGCGAATTTTGAGGAATGTATTTGGAAAAGTATTTGGAGGAGACCAAATACATTTGGTTGTATCTGTATCTTGTACTTAAATGCTTTTTTGGAAATGTAATTAGATTTGTAATTAAATACATTTTTACGAAGTATTTTGTATTTGTATTTCGATACATATTTGCAAGTATTTTGCCCATCCCTGGTCATTTATAAAGATGTTGAAAAAGGTTGGTCCCAAAACACTGCCCTGTGGTATGCCCGAGAGTACATCAGACCAGGTGGAGGAAGCTCCGTGATAGACAACCCGTTGGCGACGACCACTCAGAAAGTTGGACATCCAGTCAAAACAGCTTCCTGTAAATCCTAGGCGTCGGATTTTCTGAAGGAGTAGGCTATGGTCTACCTTGTCGAAAGCCTGTTTGAAATCTAGCTGGACAACTTCGCAGGGGATTCTGCCATCCAAGCTATTGCTGAGTGTGTTGACAGCGGTGGCGAGAGCGAGTTCACAACTGCGGTTCTTACGAAAGCCGAATTGGTGTGGTGATAGTAGTGCTTCGGACTCCAGATAGTCAAGAATTTCGGCATTGAGAATACGCTCCATTGTGCGGCAGATTATGGATGTGGAAGATATTGGTCGATAAGAGGACACAGTAGAGAGTGCATGGTACACTGCTGCCCTTGTGAATTGGAGTGACGTGTGCCGTCTTCCATTGTCGTGGGACGGAGCCGCTAGAAAGAAGGCTTCCGAAAATTTTACGCGCATCGCGCAGACGTCCTTTGTGCACACACTCAATGTCCTGATCTGCTTGCACCAGGGAGAAGAGGGGTTTCGGGAACGTTCACCAGGCCTTCTCATTATAACCGCTGCACAACAACACACGCCCCAACGTACCGTCCGTTCGTCTTCGATTAAAATTTTGTGGAAGGTACTCAACCAATGCGAAAAAGCGTCAATTTCGAGTTTGTGCTACCTCTGTCGCGCAGTGCAGAAGAGGTGGTGAATAGTAACCATGTTGGATTAGCCTGAGACTGAACTACCCCAGTCTCAGGTTAGCTGAACATTGTTCTCTTTCCCCTTAGAATCAAACGAAGAGCAAATGACTGATATAGATGTAAGCACAAGAGGTGCCTAGCACGTACTTCTGATATATCCGTTGTCTGCTGAAAACGAACAAGCACGTATGGACGTACGCACTTCCACTCGTAATGGGCATTGAAAGTTTGAAAATAGAGTGAGTAGGCAGGCGAGCTGGTTGATGTTACACATTTTTAGAAAAACCGGAGGCGACGAACGAAAAAGGGGACAACACACAAACTGTTTGTATGTTGTCCCCTTTTTAGTCCGTCGTCTTCGGTTTTCGAAAAATGTGTAATTGAAAATTTTTCCGTTCTCTGGCCAGAAGAGGCCGAAAGCTCGTGCCAGAAGGTACCGGTTGGTCTGATCGACTAACCAATGCCACGCCACGTAGATCGTTAAGAAAGGCGAGATTAATCGTCTCGGAAGTACAACCCCGAGCGTTCAAGTTGTCGCTGACAGAAACCGCGGCATACAACCGCAGGCGCACGCTTTCCCCGCAATGGCGGAAACGAGGAAAGTCCGGGAGAGACATGAGGAGAAATACTCCTTTTGGGGATTTTCCAGGCGCCATATGGGGAGATCCTGGTACCACAACGAACGCTAGTAAAAACGTAGCAGGGAACGACGACGCCATTAGGTCGTTTGGTTTGGTTCGTGCCGGTTATTGCACGCTTGCGGAGTTCTTCCGAATGTTGCTCTTCGATGTGGTTTTAAGTCCTCCGCGAACGGTTCATCGTCGGAGATCTTCAACCGGTCTCGCTCTCAACTGGGTGTGCACGCGGAGGAAGTGGATGCACTTGGTAAGTGTCTCGTTATCGCTCGCTTGGGTCGCCGACGATATCAGAGTCCGCTTTGGTGTGAGCCACCCTCCAGCGTTCGACAAAAGGGCGGCCCTTCACGAGGCACACTGGTCCCGACTTTGTAAAGTGGATGCCCTCACTTGCCGCAAATTAACTGTTTTCCTGCAACATCCCAAGCTAGCCCGAGAATTTAAGGCTGAATGGGCACTGCCAATAAACGACTCGACAAACATTTCCACGTTGACTTCACGGTCGCCTCGAGCATGCCCCGGCTGTTGCTTCGCGTTAAGTAACGGCGCCCTTTCTTTGATGGTGATTCTGTTTGGCGAAAGTAGCCGCCCACCCACGTCCGAAAGTGGTGGCGCGGAACCCACGGCTGCACGCACCCAGGACCGTTTCAGCTTGCGTGCGTCTCCCATTTTTAGTCGGGGCGCGTTGGAACGACGGACGTCCGACTCGCGTCGCTCAAACGCTTCTTGTATCTCTGGATGCGACATGTCACCCGTTCGCCTGTTCCCTCTGTCGGACGGCACCTTATCGATATGTCCAGCTTTGGCCACCACAAAGGGCGCCGTCTAGAGCGGCTAGCCTCGAGATGATGTGCGATGAAGCCGCCATGACGGCAAGTCCCTCGCGAACGTTCGCCGACCGCGGCGTTGCCGCCACGACAGCCCGGCTCGGCTTTTCAGTTCTGGGACCGATGAAAGCTCGAAGCCGGGTTGTGTGTTCTATAGCTCGTTCGCCCGTTCACGCCAACACAAGACGTGTTGCGCAGTTTCAAGGAAGAGTGGTCGTGGTGGCCCAGGGCGCGCGGACGGTTGGCCTCCTCCCAGAATAGAAATGGAGCATCGGGCGAAGTCGTGTCGCCGTGTTCAAGATATGCCGCACGTGTGCGGCCTATATTGCGGTATTCGGACGGGCAATGTGGTTATAAAGCAGATCGGCGTCAATGCAGGAAGTACGGACACGTCCCATCCTTGCAGCTTTTATCAGGCGCGAAATATTTAGACTTTCCACCGCCCGGTGTTGAAGGGTGAAAATTTTGTTTTCCGAAATCCCCCCCTCCCCCCATTTTTCTTCTGTATAATTCAAGTTCCAGACAAATAAGCAGAACGAAATTAAATAAACGACTTATTAAAACAGACAGCTAGTGTTGTTTTTCTCGAACATTTCCGAGTGTCTTCTGTGCTTGTCAAATACGCCTCTCATGAGACGAATTCGCGTGACATCAACCCTCCTGTGCTGTGTCACGACCCGCAAATACGGTCAAATTGATTGTGATAGACCCTTTTTTTCCAAACTGGCCAGTGAAAGTTACAGTTCCGTGATGTGCGTGCACACTTATTCAGGTGCGAGGCAGTCGGTAGCACACAGTTTCCTCTCAACAAATAAGGACGCTTTGTAATATGCTCTAGCTACCATGATCACATTCCAGCATCAAGCAGTTCCAGTTCTTGGGGCACAATATATCTTGATGTCTGGGTTGGAGAAAATTCCCTCCAGTTAGCCTGGTCCTCGCCTGTGGGGTGCTCTTAGGCCCAACAGTGTTTTGTCAAGTCTAAGGTCTCGTGAACCGAGATATATATATAAAAAAAGTTCGAATTGCATAATCTAAAACAGCAAAACTAAACTCGCACCAAGGATACAGCAAACCAATTTTATTCTCAAGCTTACTCTTCGCACATTTGTTGCAGGCCAAGTTCCCAAGTATTCAACTTTGCAACAGAGAAGAAGCAGAGGTGACAAAAGCTGAAGCAAGTCTCCCTTCAAGGATGGCTTTTTGAAGTTAGTAGAGCAAAAATGTTCCAAAAGGCGACAAAATTTGTGATCAAAAACATTTACTCCAGCTTAACAGATATCAAAAGAAACACACATGTTTCCTCACCCATACGCGTTGCATCTTGGGTATATCCAGTGAAACCCGTTTAGAATGAACCCACGTACAGCGAATTATTGTTGACATCGAAATCAAGGAAAATTTAAATAAAAATGCATATAGAAAATACTTTTTATGACGAACAGCATATTAGCTATATCTAACTTCTTCCCACCTGGGGAAGGCTTCCAAAAACGTGCAAACAATCGTCTTCTAGCCTGTCCCTTCCGCAGAAAAAATAAAACAGGAAAGAAAGAAAATTCCAAAAGCTCAAGTTGTGAACAAAACTGAGCGAAGAGAAGTGATTTAGAAGGGGGAAAAAGCTAAAAAATGCATTCTGGAATCTGCACGCACACACCGAAAAAAAAAAAAAAAAGTCTTTTCGTTTCAAAACGGTTGCCCACGAAGAGAAGCAATTCAGAAAAAAAGGTAAACTAAAATAAAAAAAAAAAAATAAAAAATTTCCATTGCGTTGTTACAAGGCGGAAGCGAAGAAATGAGAAAGAAAAAGAAGCTCTCGTCTTACAACGAACACATTGTGGAAGTTCGTTGTAAATGGTTTTTTGCTATATCAAACTGATCATAGCGTTTTCTGCTGTTTGTTATAAACGGGTTTGACTGTACCGTAACAAATGAGGTGAGAGGCCAGCCAGTCACCACTCACCGTGAATGTCTTTGTAAATGTCTGGCAGGGGGCTTTACCAATGAGAGCTTCTGGAGTCATGGTCTCTCTGCCTTGACTCATCGATGTGCAATACCAATCACGGCCCCCTACTGGATGTTCATAAAGACATTTGTGATAAGTATTGACTGGCTGGCCCCCTCGCCTCATTTGCATTAGTATATACTAATTAAGGATGTTGCAGTATAGGTAATGAAAAGTCTGTATAATTTTTAAAGACCCGAGTCTTGATGTTTTCACACAATATCTAATCAAGATAAAATTATTAACTTCTTCGTACCATTATTTCTTCACATTATACTCCCGTCAAAAGAATGAAGACCATGACAAGAAATACAAGCCACAGTTATGAATGTCTTGTTTTACCAAAGGGGGGATTGGTGACTAGGGATGTCGCGAACCACCCTAGGTTCGATTTCGAAAGGTTTCGATATTTGCGAAGCGAACTGAGGTTCGATTTCGAAAAATTTCGATATTTTCGTACCGACCGAGGTTCGATTTCGAAAAATTCGCAACTTTTGACCACAGCGGAGTTTCGAATTCGAAAATTTCGAAGCTTTCACGGTTTCTAAAATTTCGAATTCGAATATTTCGAATATTTTTTTACTTCAGGTTCGATAAATTCGAAGATTTCGAAATTGTTTGTAAAAAAAATTCGAAAACTTCGAACGCTTCGAATTTTTATAGACATGAAGTTCGAACAATTCGAAGATTTCGAATTTCTTTTTGCATAAAGTTCGAAAAGTTCGAAGGTTTCGATTCTCTTTCAGTTTCAGTTTCAAATAACGTTTTCACGACTCACTTGTTTTCACAAAATCAAGTTTAGAAAAGTTAGGGTGTGATATCTAGACTCTGAAGTTGGTCAGGCAATTAAATGAGACGACGAGTGTTTCGGATGTGCTGGAATATTTGCCAGTGCAGAATTGTGACCGCCAGCCCCGGGGGGGGGGGGGGGGGGGAGCAGGAGGTTGAGGCTGAGAAAAACCTTGAAGCGACCTGGCAAACTAGCTCGCCACTCCTTGCACGCTGGTAGTAATCCGATCCGGTGAAGTTTGTAATTGTCCTGGAGGTTTATTTTCTGGGACGGAGGAATCGCCTCGCAAAAAGCACAAAAGCCGACACAACTCGAGGTCAAGGAGCGTTCTACCATAGAAGTGGCGTCGGAAGAGGAAAAACGGGGGGAAAGAGGGTAGCGGGGGGGGGGGGGGGGGGGGGGGGGGGGAGGCTTCAGCCTTTTTCTCCCCCTTGCAGGTATTTCGGACTGTTAAAGAAAACAATACGGGGAAAGAAGCCGTGGTCGAGCTTATTTTAATCTGAAATTATTTATGCATATGTGTAGCTACTGTCGCTCCTCACTGCATAAAAGGTTGCGTAAATGGTTATTGTTAGAAACTCGTTGTCAGAAGGCACTACTCGTCACAAGCTTAGTGGTTCGGAAGTTCAAAGCTATTTCATTTCAACCTAAATACCTGTGCCGATAGTAAAATAAATAAATAAATAAATAAAATTAAATAAATGCGGGAATAAAAAGCAGGAGAAAAAAAGAAACTATCGAGAATTCGTCGGAAGTGTTCTATTCTTGCATATTCAGAGGTTCAGAACTTCGAAACAAGTTTCTTTTAGAAAAATGTGTACAGGCTAAAAGAAACACGTCCCAGAAACGTGAAGCGAAAAAAAAAAAAAAAAGTTTTCTTTTAATGACGTGCTGAACTTGAACACAATTAGAAATCTTCTCCCATGAGTTAATTTATTCCTTAACGTGAAAAAACAATAAATATATTATTTTGTATTCTGCAGATGGCAACGATATGTACTGTCTGTGGTGTTAATTTAAATGCGATACCTCAAACAACTTAGACGAAAATAAATATCAAGTTTAGGTCATAATTGCATGCAGATACATGTTTGGACATTTCTTCGAAACTCACGTTGAATAACAATAATCACATCTTAAGAAGGCACTTACCTAGGCTATACATAGATCATTCTTAAAAAAAGTATAACATATCTACCATAAATAGCTCCGGCTGCAACGTGCTTCAAATCTGGCACAAACGATAATCGTCAAAAACCCGTCGTCCTTCCTCGCCCCTTCGGGGATTTATTTCTTTAAACCTAAGCACGCCAGAACATTGAAATAAACGACATTGTCTTTCGTAAGGAACGCAGCACCGCGTGTAAAAGTTCGATAAAAAAAAATTGCGAATGTACCCCACTACTTGAAATCAAATGAAACCGTCCGCCGGTCTTTCGAAGTTCGACGAAGGTCGAACTTTTACCCTAAAAGTTCGAAGTTCATCGAACTTCTGACTTTTCAGAATTCGAAAGTTTGAAACTTTTCGAATTCTCTTGATAAATAAGTTCGAAAGTTCGAAATTCATCGAATTTTTTGGTCAGTCAAGTTCGAAAGTTCGACAAGCATCGAACCTTGCAGCGCAATCAGTTCGAAAGTTCGAGAAAGATCGAATTTTTTAGCGTAATAAGTTCGACGGTTCGAAAAGCGTCGACCTTCTTAGCTTAACAAGTTCGAAAATTCGACCTCCGTCGAATTTTACGATATAGACAATTCGAAAAATCGAAATCTTTCGAACCTTTCGAACCGCTTGATTCGATCATCGAAACTTCGATTCGAAAAAAGTTCGCGGCATCCCTATTGGTGACCGAGTGGACTAGCACACACCAGCTCGGAGCACATGGAGTGAAAGCTCGTGGTGCAGAACCCAGGGATCCGTTGTTCAATCCCACCCCTACCCGTTTCAATCTGAACGAGCATCGTACCGGCGTGGGGTCGTGTATCAATACTGTGTGATGCACGTTAAAGACTCCAGGCTAGCGAATGTACTGTGCTGGCTAAATTGCTCATCTACAGCCGAGAGACAAGTCGCCCTTGCAGCTGACTAAGTTGAGGCTCTATAAACATGGACACACCCCCATTGTTTTAGCAAAGTCAAAATTCTATTGGGTTTATTATATTTATTTATTAAATTGGGTTTATTTCTTTTTGTTACTTCACTACCATTTGGAACCATTGTGCAGGTACCACACTAACCCACCAGCTTGCAAGCCCACCTCTCATCTTGAGCCAATAGCAGCGGTTGAGTGGAAAGATGTCTGCGTGAATACCTGCAAGAAACAGAAAAAGTGAAGCTAAAACCTTCAAGTGAGTGCACATCAGCTTGCATAGCTTGCCAGAGACGATATGTTCAGCTTGAATGTGTGAAAACAGACGGCGCTCTCAATCCCGAAAGCAGCTCCGGGACATCTACCACACTTGACCGCAGCTCGCAGTCATGCGAACAGTCATACCCTTGGTGCGTCGTGTACTCGACCACAATTTTTGTTGTGGTGGTTGGTATCGTCAGTGCCTTGTGCGAGTGCTCCCTGTGTGCCTTGGATGAGGCATTTCAGAATGCACCAAGGAGTGTTCCAAAGTGCACCACTGCCAGCAGAGCCTGTTCATCTTAACCAGCTGTTGGTTGGCGATATTGCCAATGGAGTGTTAAAGAGGCTTTTCAAAGTTGTTCCGTGCTGTGGTTGCTTCAAGTGGGGTGTCTGCAGGTGTCCTCAGTCTTCAGAGTGTTGTGGTGGTTTGAAGGTGAGAATGCTGCCGGTGTTTGTGGTCGCCCATTATGTGAGTGAGGTGCCTGTGTGTGTGTTTATTGGCAGTGTTAAAAATTCAGCACGTCCGAGCCGACATGGATACCGCTTTATGAGTGGCTGCATGATCGGCGGAAGGGAATATGTGCAAATGAAGTCTCAAGGTGTAATGTATCCTCTCTGCTTGTAATGCAGAGAGCAGTGCCCCAAGGAATATGTGTTGTGGTGATTTGTGCAGTGCTGTGAAGTGATAGTGTACGGAAGGCAAGGCCCTGCAGTGAGGTGAGGTGAAGTGACCCACTTCCCGGAAAGTGGTCTAGGCAGTTATCCCTCCGCTGCAGTGATCACGTCGTCAATTGCAAGCATTTCCTGCCCTGCTGATCTACTGGGCAACATGCTCTGCAAAGTCTCCTAGACCTTCAACAAGGCTACCAAAGGTCGACAATCCTACTTTTCCAAGGGGCAGATCGCAAGATGTGTTGTGCGGTGGTGTGGAGTGCGGTGTTGTGTTGCGGCTTGTTTGACTGTCGGCACATTTGAAGCTGGTGAATGTGCAGTGCGAGTGCAATCATGTTGGCTCAAAAGGCATCTCACGTGCTGCAGTCTTCTGTGCATGTCGGCATGTTTCACAAAGCGTGATGTGTGTGTGTGTGGTGAACGTCTCTGGCGAGTCTTCGGAAAAGAGGAAAGGCAGAGCCTTCATGAAGTGTGATCAAAAGGCGACGTCAACTTTGTGTCATCTAAGCGCCTGCTTGAAGAAGAAACTTCTTCAAACAGGTGCCTCAATCTTGGCTTCTACCAAAGATTCCGTGGAGCTTTAGTGGATTCCGCATAACTAAGCTAAACACTCACAGTTGCAACATCGAAATGGAACTGCTGCAAGGTAGACAGTTGAGCAAGGCATAATTTTAGAAGCACAACAACATGTGGAATGGCAGGAGGAGATGTTTTTAACACACAAGTCTGCATGGCAGAACCTCTGAAATATGATGATTCAATAACTCTCCAGAAGTCTACCAGGGCCACTCACCACTGATGCAGTTACATGTCCCCATGTAAGGCAGCCTGGGTGTGAATAGGAAAGTCCAGGTTACGTGCATTTCACTGTTGAGATGGGAAAATATGTGCAGTAGTGCCTTGGCAGAAACCAAACTATTGACTTGTGAGAAGCTACAAAGAAAATTCTGGAAGTTTCCAAAGCCAAATCAACGAAAGCTGTTGGGCATGCATCAGTGGAGGACTGAAGATTAATTTAGACCACCCAGGGTTCTTTTGGTGTGCAACCAAACTCTTGCATGGCACCCACCTTGTCCATGACAAGCCTCCTTCAAATTGGGGGCACCTTGGTCAGCACGCAAGCCTGCCAACTGGGTATGTGTTGAGAACCTTATTCTATTACTCTTGGCAGTCGGTAGAGGAACAATAGGTGAAAATACACCAGCAAGCTGTCTAAATGCATTCACATGCTTGTTTAGAACCAGAGGAACACGAAGAGAACGGTTTCAAAAGCCTGTCCCAGCCCAAGACATAACAATAAAAGATATTAAAATGATATATGAACTTCCTAAAACAAAAGAGCAATTCGAGAGTTGACTAATTTAAACTGTTGATAGGTCCATTTGCGCTTTACTGCAAGTAATTTTCAAGCAAGCTTACGAAAGCTGCCTGATATTTTTTGGCCTTCCGATTGCCTTAGTTTTTTTTTTTTTTTTTTTATGGTTCTTTTTAGTTTGCTACTGATGGTTTGTGGATTTTTAATGCAGAATGTATTTGAACGGATAGTAAGTTAAGATTTGTGCTGTGTTGCCATACCATGCTGTGTTGCCATACAGAATGTCAGCCAAATTTACTCATCGCACAGAATAAAGGTTGATATCGCATTGGTCCCTGTTACGGCCTATGCAGGGAAATGATATGCTAGGTATTAGGTTCTTGCATGCTTTTGAATAAGTACATTTTAAATCATAAATTTAAAGGTACATCTCCAGTTAAAAGATTTATTGGGCATCATTAAAAATTATAATTGGCCCCATTTATTTTAGAACATTCTAAAAGAAAAAAAAAAAGCTAAGGAACACATTTCCACTCCAGCGGTCCTGCTTCCCGTTGCCAAAATGTGCAACTACCGCCTCAACCGCCTCGCTGGAGAGAAATGGAGCTTGAGCGGAGGAAATGGAATGCTGCACTGTTCGAATCATATTGCAACAACCTTGATTATTAGGCTTACTGTTGTTTTGGAAAGAATGTGTGGAGGCACACGTCAGTTGCGTGCTTTGACCATGGGGATCGCTAGTGCTCTGATGCACTTCGATAAGTAACCAAAACCTAAAAAAACATTCAAATGGATTTTTGTTTTTTAATGCTATGCAATTTTATTAGTGCATTATCATTTTTTGTAAAGGGAGCCAATTTAGTGGCTCTGAATGATGTCCAGAAAGTTTCCAATTGAAAGCATGCTAGCTTAAAAGTTGATGATTCAAAATTATTACTGCAAACGTCAGTTTTACTGCACTAGTCACTGGCAGGATGGGAACAGCAGAGAGGAGTTTCAGTCGTCCCGCCTCCAGCCTCAGCTTCCTAGCTTCAATCAAGCTTCAGTATCTCACGAGCCTCGGACGAGTGTACATGCACAGTCAAAGCACGGCAAAAGGCAACGGGCTCATACTGTAGGCCGGGCTTTTGAGAGAGAGCGCCTGCCGCTCTCAGTTTCTCTGTGTGTATAAATAGGCCATATGACAAAGACCAACACGACATCACCTCTTTATTTTGTGACACATAGTTTTGCAGAATCAATTTGGCCGGCGTTCCAAGAAACGCCCTGTATATCGCCGATCCACTTCACATACAGCATGTTTAGGCGGTAAACTAAAGGTGCACTTTTCTTTTTAACTGTGTTCTAGTAACAACTTGCCCACTGCTTTTGAATGCAGAATGCATTATGGAGAACGTTCCATGTATTTGGGGGTGTTTATTGTTCTTTTAATTGGGTGCATGGAAAAGAAGGAATTAATTCGAGGCCTATTTTTTTTTTTTTTTTTGCAGATTTAGTGTTTTTAGGTGTCCATTTTCGCTGTCGAACAAAATATCGAGGCTTACATTGAGGAAAGCAGGTCACGGTCGTGGGAATCCTCTACCTGCAGGAAACATGCGTGTGAGCCAAACAGTACCTGAAAAATGCCCTGGTATACTGATAAGCGAAGGTAATGAGACAAGAAGCGCATCTCCTAGAGAGAAAAAAAAAAAAACAGCTTTGCAGACAGCTCTGCGTAGGGTTTTGTTCCCTCTGAGCCCAAAATCAAACTGCAGATAAAAATAAATTTCTGTGAATCTTTTTTTTTTTATTTTTTCAAGCACAGCTTCCCTTTTTTTTTTCTTTCAGATTCTGTTAAAGGGGTAGTGCAACGATTTTAATGTTAAAAGAATTTGCAGTTTCTATTTTTATATTGTTCATCTAGGCATAAGTGACAAAAAATGCACCACCCTCTCGTGAAAAACTGCTATACTGCTGCGTGATGGCAAAGAAAGAAACAAATTAATTGGTGGTCTGCAGCCGCTTGTGGCAGTCACGAGCTACGGTGGATTGTCACTGGGGGACACGCGGAAGTCAAAAACACCTGTCCCCTTCCAGTGCTACACACACCGGCAGCAGCCCCATGGCAAACCGTCTTTTGTGTCGACCATTCGACAGTAAGCCGACATTTGCAGAAAGACCGGCTGGGGTCTCTGAAGAGAGAACCCAATGGGAAACCACGAGGTCACCCAGAGAGGTCACTCGAAAGATTGCACAAGAGTTGTGAAACTTTGACCTTCGATATATTCCATTTTTTAAAATAAAAACTAGGGCGCGCAGGAAAACATGGTTTTCTGTTCTTTGTTCTATACATGACACAGATTAATTCTTGGAGTTAATTAGCCAAAGTTTGGAAATCGTTGCACCGCCCCTTTATAACGGGCCCGGGGGTTACTTTTCAGGTTGATCGCTATGCACTCAGAGCGCGTGCCCTAGTCATAGCGCTGATGTTGGCCTTTAGAGTGTCGCGTCGCATTCCGACATGGCGTTACATAACTTAAGTGCAGTGTGTTACTGTTTTTTATTTACAGAAAAAAACCTGCTTCGCCGTGAGGCATTATTGCAGGGGGTGGGTTTCATACAAACACTTTCTATGGATCAATAATGAAATTAAATAAAAACATACTGTATATAAAAACACTACACAATTTAAAATTCAAAAAACCAAATTTGCCACAAGCACATCTTTCGGCACCCTATTCCACTCTTCTATGGTTTTCGGAAAGAAACCATTATTTTTGTAAGTTCTTGTCACCAGTCACGTGATTCCACATTGTGGTGTCACAATGTGTCATACATTGTTCCGTCTGTATCATGTCACATGCTGTGACAACATGATGTGAAGTGACCTAATACCCCATCACATGGTCATGTGACTCATGGTGGCACCAACCATGTGACCATCCAAAGTATTCTGCACACAACGATTTTGTCAGGTATAGTTAAAGTGATGCACGAATTTGAACAAACTGACATGCATATGCACATGTACAGGGTGTTTGATCAAAAAGCTGCGAAAGGTACACTAATCCAGTCTTCGTGTGCGAGTTATACGACCAGGGGGACACGATACAGGGGACTAATTCTCACGATAAGCCAGATAATAAACAAAATTTGTTAATGAATGTTTTACAGCGGAGCTGTTAAGGGCTAGTTTCCCCGAGCGTCATGTCCGCCAGCAAACAAATGTAGACACAGGACTCTGCACAGCTGCCGCCATCTATGAGCGACCAGTTTTGTATTGCCTACTGATGTTTCAATAGCCAACTTCCCAACAGTATTGTACCACCGCAATTAAAGGTGGAATTGCATGGGACGAGACTTGCGAAATCGGCTGGAGTTGTGCCTTGCATTATACTGTTGGGAATATTTGGTGACTATATCTTGCCAACTGGACTGTGACTTAACCTATGCCACAAACTGGAATAATGCTGCTTGAAGAATAACACACAAACAAGTTCACTGGCAGTGGTCTTGGTAATTAAAGAAGACAATAACAAGAACACAGCTGAACCACACGTCTCTTAACATTGTAGCTAACTCTGCCTGTCATGGTCTAAACATATGCAGAATAGGGTGTTTCATTTTAAGTGTAACTGATTTTTCTAAAAAAAAGCTGTGAAAGCTGCGCTATTGTGGTCTAGGCGAGTTATATGGACATGTAGGGGCTAATCATCCCAATAGAATGCATAATTAACTGATGGAGATAATTAACATTTTAATTCATGAAAATAAACGCATTTCCACTTATAGTCGGTTACAAGTCAAGAAGGTAGGAGAAGCTCCTCCCACAAGTGTGATGCGCCCGTTTCAAATCTCTCCGCAGTCGAAAGAAGAGTTCACTGGAAACGCTCCTTGTTCCGCTTCAATGGATTCCCACTTGTCTCCGATCCCACTTTTCAAGAAAGCGACCTTTGTATTCATCGGAGAGGGAACCGAGCCCCTGAAAGCAGCCTTTGTATCCATCGGGGGGGAAGCTAATCCCCGAAAGTCGTATTTGCTTCCGTCGGTGGGGGAGAACTCTAATCTCCCTCTCGTGGCTTCCACAATGCTAAGTCAAAGTCGAAAGATAAAGCAAATATGTACAGAAAGGCAAGACCCTCCTCGCGCGTTGCCCGCGACGTCACGGAAACGGTGGGACGCTATTGGATGCAAAGGTGGCGGAGGGATATCTGATTCCCTTTGAGGGGCATTTGCCGCTACCTTCTTAACCTGTAACTGACTATAGCAACTTGCTCACCATCATAGAAAAGCACTAAATTGGAATATTTTAGAACAGTTTGGAGTGTGTGGTGGGGCGCTAAAGTTACCACTCGCGCAACAGGCTCAAGGCTGATGGTGTGAAAAATAGTAATTGATCTTCAAAGCAGCACATACAACTACCTAGATTAAGCACATAGGGAGAGAATTAGTAATGCCCTGCAAGTAGCCAAAATTGTTTTGCTACAGTTCTTTAGTTAAAAACGAGTATAGGCTCTGTTCAGATAAGATCATGCACGCAGGTTCGGACATATTTTTTTGTTTTGTTAACTTTTTTTATATATTACTTCTAGACGTGTAGGGAATGTAATCAAAAAAAATTTTTTGCAAAAAATATATTTGAAGAAATAAACAAAATTAAGTGTGCTAGAATGGCATATTCGATTTTTGAAGTTTTCCTTTATATCATGTTTAGTGACACCTACTATGCAATCTACAGATATCAGAAATCTCAAATATTTTTCACTTATAATAGATTGTGGGAACTATTGATTTAAATATGTACAGCATTGTGGAGGTTTTATATTTCGTGTCAAAAATGTGCAAATCTGGCTTTGACATTTTGTTACTAGATATCTGCGCCATAATCTGAACAAATTGAATAGCTACAACATTAAAACTTGTGTAATACATTCCTATTGAAATATCACTGCTCAATCTTAAAAAATCTAAATTTTTATGTTGCTCCAAACTTGTCCTCAAGTTCAAAGTTTAGAAACTTCGAGGGACAATTAAAAAACAAACAAAAAAAAACCCATCTTCGATTATTTTGAAATTTATAGTGAAAGTTCTCCACCATACTTTTGTGTTTAATCATAAAAAAAACATGTTGCATAATTTTGTTTCCTTCCGAGTTACAGCGTGCAATGTGCCCCATCCATGCCAGCATTTTTGCTCATTGCCACAGAGGAGATCATCTTTTGATTCTGTGTATTTTATGACTAGGTATATTTTTTTTGTGCTGTATTCAGATGATGGGCTCGAGTTTAAGCATTTTACGAATTAAAACAATACCTGCGTTGCTTTCCCTTTTTATTAATTTATCCAATAAGCCTGTTTCGCCCTTTAAAATGACAAGTTCTAGGAACTTTAGCTGAACTTTTTCCTCAAAAGCGGGGCAAAAACAAAAAGAATCGCTACTGCAACATTTTTTTTTTTACAGAAAGTAGTAGAAAAGTAAGTACAGCAGTGCAAATTATATGTGAATATTTATGCATATATTCGCAGTGAACTAGGAATGTTTGAGCCCAAGCTTGTTACACTGCTATTCACGACAATTGTACATCCAGCTGACCAAGGTATACCTGCGACTTCACTGGCAGACTTTCAGTAAGACGTCTGTTAAGATTAAAAAATATTCATAATTATTTATTCTAGTAAAATAAAAAAAACACAAAATTATAAAAAAAAAAAAAGAGTGAAGACGTAGAGCTCACTAGTTGCCCGCGTTGGGGAGAGGGGGGCGTCTAGAGAAGTCCGTCTTTTGGCCCTCTTCAAGTTAAACTGACGAATTCCACAAAGCACTCACCTGTGCCGCAATGATTCTAACGGGTGCGGGAAAATCGTTGGACTCCGAATGGGGCTACAAATAGGGATGCACATTCCATCGACAGATCGTTTCGTCGACACGCAATGTTTCAGACAGATTGCTTCATTGACAGGTCGTTTCATGGACAGCTCAGATTACCTTTACTCATTTTTTTTTCTTTACTACTTTCAATTCCATATTTATTTTTATTTTTTTTTTATTTTAGACAAATAAATATTCACAAATATTTTTCTTTAAATCTTAATGGACATCTTTGTGGAAGTCTGCCAGTGAAGTCACAGGTTTACCTTGGTCAGCCGGACCTACAACCGTCGTGAATAGCAGTTTAAGAAGCTTGGTGGCTCAAACATTCCCACTTTATTGCGAATATAGATATCAATATTTGCATGTGATGTGCACCACTGTTCTCACTTTTCTACTACCTTCTGCAAAAAAGAAATGGCAGTAGTAGCGATTACAAGTGAAAAAAGATAGGCTAAAGCTCCTAAAACTTGTAACTTTAAAGGGCAAAAGAGGCTTATTGCTTAAATGAATACGAAGGACGAGCAGTGTGGGTATTGCTTTAATTAGTAGCATACTTGAACTTGAGCCCAATACCTGAATACAGCACAGAAAGATATATCTACCATAAAATACCAAGCAAGCGCCGTGCCCCCCCCCCCCCCCCCCCCCCCCCCCCCCCCCCCCCCATTTTGAGAGTATCCAATCAAAATAAGGAGGGGGCCCTTACTCGCTTCAGGAATAACATTTAAGATGGAGGCCACAAAAATATTAAATTTTCATAAAATGGGAGGGGGCGCTTACACGAGGGGGGTGCATGCTCGGTATTTTACGGTGGTCATAAAATACACAGAATCAAAAGATAATCTTGTTTGTATCATTGGGCTAAAATGCTGACGTGGAAGGTACACTTTGCAGTGTTGTAAATTTGAAGAAAACAAAATGATGCAACATGTTTTTTACGAATAAACACAAGAGTATGGTGAAGAACTAGCCCTATGAATTTCAGGAAAATCGAAGATGTTTCTTTTTAATTGCCCCCTTAAAGTGTCTTAACTTTGTACTTTATAACAAACTTGGAGCAAAATGAAAATTTACATTTTTTTTTGATAAAGCAATGATTTATATATTATTTCGAAGATTGTTTTAACAAGCATATATGGCGTAGATTTTAATGTTGCAGCTATTCGATTTCTTTAGATAATGGTTCAGAAATCTAGTGACAAAACATCAAAGGAGTCATGTTTGCAGATTTTTGATGCAAACAATATAACCTCCACAATGCTGTACATATTTAAATCAATAGTTCCCATGATCTGATATAAGTGCAAAATATTCGAGATTTCTTATATCTCTAGTTTGCGTAGGTGTCACAAAACATGACAAACAAAAACTTCAGAGAACAAATATGTCATTTTTTTTCAATTCAAACATGTTTTTTGCAAACTTGTTTTTTATTATGTTTCCAACTCATTTAAAAAAAATCACATAAAAAAAAAAAAAACATTTGGATTTGCGTTCATGATCTTATCTGAGCCTATAGCTGTGTCTCTTTCTTGAGCGAGATGCTCAACCCTCAGCAATCAAACAAACTGCAAGGAACACGTTTATGAATATGTCCCTTGCAGCTTTGTTTGACTGACATAATTGCCAGTCAAGTCGGTTAAAGACAAGAATTCTGCAACAGCAGTGCTTAACATCCTTCTTTGAATGGAGAATTTCAAAGGCATACTGTTGGATTTGTAGCAAAGAATAAGCTCATAAGGATTCCCAGGAAATGCTTGGTGTTGTCAAAACAATTCCAGTAGGACATAATATTTTCCAGCATGCTTTTTAGTGTAGATTGAGGCACCCTGATTTGATGTGATGACTATCGGCTTAGATTGTATAATGCGTTGCAACAATGCCAGGAAACAATACTGTCAATGGGCACAAGTGGACAAACATAACAGTGTGGATTTGTGTTGCACTTTCTCGATTAGCACGCACATATTCCTGGACCGAACGTGTAGTTATCAGTGATACGAAACAACTCTGAATAATATTCAAAAGGTAGTTGCTTCCTAACAAAACAAGGTAGTTTGTAATGAGAAGCTCCAATTTTGTCACAACAAGAAATAAACCGTTTAAAGATGAACTAATTGGTGGCCTGTCCTCTATTTTGTTTCAGCACTATGGCTCCCCCAAGAGCGTCTGCATGGTGGCGAGCAAAAAGGCAAGAGAACACCGAGAACAGAAGATCTGAGTTTTAGATCTCCAGAGTTATGGAATCACCTTCATTCTACAAGTGGAGTGTCTTGGTTGCAGCATGCAGTGCGGTTTGGTGCAGTGGTGTATGCAGCGCAAGTCCAGTGCAATAGTGTGTGCAGTGCAGTGGTGTGTGCAAGAATGTGCTGTGCCATTGCAGAAGACGAGTGAGGGTGCAGTGCAAGTGAAGAGGTGCGTTTGGTGCTAGACAGTGCTTCTAAAAGTCCACTTCTCTCTTTTGAAGCAAATCTCGTGAGCGGCAATGGGCTTAGTACTGGGCCAGTTCTGAGCAATGTCAGAAAAGGTCCACACTGGTTGATCTGCAGCACAATATTGCAGATATCCTTGCTACCTGTGAAGGTCAGTTAGCCCTTCCTGCTTATCTCTTTGCCCTACAAAAGTTGAGTTATCCTAGACTTTCTAGCAGATTAACCTCCTAGCAACAAGCTTATTAATGCACTTTTCTTTAGTAATCCTTAATGTAAATCTGCAAGTTGATTCATCCTAGACTTTTTGGCAGATTAACTTCTCAGCAACGCCCACATTTTTTGAATGTAATTGTAATGTAGACTTCAAATGTTTTTTTTTTTTTTTTTTCCTACAAGTTTATATATTCTAGGCTTTTTGGATGTAGTCCCTAACCAATTTATGCAATTTACCTGTGAAGTTTGTGTTTTTCAGGTGCTGCTCCTCATGGGTCCATTAAGATTTGTGACTGGCAAACAAATTTGAGCTATTTCCTTGTAAATAACGTCGGTTGCAACTAGATATCGTGGGTCTCAGATCTCTCACTGGAACCTCATACACTCTTGGAAACTAACATTAGTTCTAAGTGGGCAGCAAGAGCACATCCACTGGAACGCAATCTTGCTCTGCAATAACCCACTCCTACCATGCTTCGTTAGCACCCATTAAACAAGTTTGCAGATCCTCTTCTGAATGGAAAGCTCCGAATAAAGAAGGACGAAGAAGGGGACAGAGGGGGACAAAAAGAGAACTCCGAGTTCTTTTTCGTCCTCGTTTATTCGGCGCTTTCCATTCAGTGATGCACCAACTAGCCCATTTTATCTATTCTACTACAAACCCTCTTCACCAGTAATATACTTGGACTGATCTATCTTAACCTCAGCTTTGTGAAATTTACATCTATGCCAGCCAGGACTTATAATCACTCACCAAAACCGACTCTGCTGTCAGCAGGTGCGTGTTCCAAAGTCTGTGTTTCAGCTACTCCAGCAGAGGAGGTGGTTTCAAGTCGTCGCAGTCTTCAGTACAGCCGCGAGCTGTGGAACCTGAACATCACTCACAGTAAGCAATGCAGAATGCGCCTCTAGTGAAGGGATGATCGCGCCGCGTACTCAAACGCTGCGCCACTTGAGTAGCAGGACCGCTGGGACTCCCATGTCCATTGCGGCAGCCGTGAGATCTACCATAATTTTTTCTTCTTTTTTTTTTTTTTTAATTTGTTAGGGGTTTACGCACTTTTAAATATTTTTTTTGACGATCGGAACTATTATTATCGATAAACAATATATATATATATATATATATATATATATATATATATATATATATATATATATATATATATATATTTTTTTTTTTTTAATAATGTAATACATGATAAGAAAACGAATTCTTCACCGACCGAAAAACAAAGACATAACGGTCCTGATTCGAAGCTTCTTTGCACCACTGATCAGTGGTTTGCACCGTGCCACCTTTTCACTTTTTTCTTCCGTTGCTCGAAAAGTGGCGGGTACTATGAACTTTAGGTTGTGGTAGCTTGGGTAGCTTGTCTTGGAAGGAGCGTTTCGGCCTGATGAGGTCACGCGATCTGCGAACGAACGGAGGTCCGTTGACGTGCTGTTGCTTGCGTGCGTGGTTCGGTTTTGTGGTGCCTCGATGGGCCGCATTTCCGTCGCGAACTGTCAGCTCTTTCCTGGCGCGACTTCGGGCCTATTTTTGAAGTGAAAGTCGGATGCATGTGCGTGACAGAGCCAGGACGTTTCTAAGAGACGTCCTGCGCTCCTTGTCCTCCTGCGTCACATGGGAAGCATGCTGGTGGTTTAGACGACCGCTGGTTGCAGTGAGACCACGGCAAACTTCGCCACGTTCGCCCTTGGCAATCGGGACGAAAAAGACGACAGCGGGATCTGGCGGCGCTTCTAACGCATCTCGGCGATCGTTTGGTAGGCGTGCCCCGCGACAGAACAACTGTCAAGGAAGAGAAGGCACGAGTGGCAAAGGAGGCCCAACAGAGCTGACGTCGACCATTTCGTTAGCAGCGTGTGAGGATGCTTTTCTAACGTAGTACACCGCGCGAACGAGGAATGGGCGGTTTTCTTTTTCTTTTCCCCTCCTAGAATCGAAAGCTTGTCACCACAACTACTATTGTAGTGGTAGAGACCGCCCAATCGCAGCACTATTTTAAGGGGTAATATTTAATGCTAAAAAGCGCCGTTGTCGCGTCCGCGCAGACAGTGTCGCTCAGTGTACGTAAGTACGTTCATGGGCGGGCAAGCCTTCGCACTGTCGCGGTTCGTGATGCGAATAAATTGAACAACCCCGCAACCAGCAGTGCAACACCTTGCAAATCACGACTATAGCATCTGGAAGAACAATCGCTCGAGCCTCTCGTCAAATACCTGCGGGATTCCGGTGATTCGTGCGCGTTCACCCGCGCAGTGACGCTTGTCTTACCGGCAAGATGTTCGAGATGTTCCATTTTGTAACGATGAACCAACTCGCCTGCATTGCCACTATGTTCTACCCGAGGGTAAGCGAATCCGTGGTCAGCTATTTGCAGCTACAGACACATTCCGCTCGTAGCGCGATCTAACCAACGCCAGGAAGTCATATGCGTGTACTGGCGCAAGCTCGGGTAGGCACGCTGTTTCACGTTCACACGTCGAAACCTGCGTGACCTCCGCCCAGAAGGCGGCATTTGTTTGACCATGCCCGGGTCGCTAGCTGCATGCTACGACGCGCGACTGCAACCACCAGCATGGACCTACCCCTTCCCCAGCGTGACGTCATGTGCCGGCCGTAAATTCGATGTGCCGCCCGTATATTCGAAAAATCTCCTTGTCGTGTGCAACTGTCAAGCCAGAAAAAAGGAAAAAAAAAAAAGAAGAAAAAAGCGCAATTTAATTTATATTGTATTTGATTGTGGAAGAAAGAAGGGATGATTGTGGCGTGTGAAACATGTACGTCTTGATAAGATAAGATATACATATAATCTAAAATGCACCTACATTCATACGTACGTACATATCTTAGTTCTCCTCGGCAAAGAGGGTTCTTAAAACTACACTAGGAGCCGGATTTTTTTTTTTTTTCACTACGGTTCTCAAGGTGAAAACGAGAGTAGAATCGTCAAACAAAGTTTGAGCCTGTTCGAGTAGCGCACCGATTGGATTTCGGCGAAAAAAGCTACAAACGCGATCACACTGCCCCGAACAATGCTTGCGCTGCACGAGCTTGAGGTGTTTTATTCGGTCGAATTTCGAGTCGGTTTTGAACTTCTCGAAAAAAGGCCGTCTTTGACTTGTGTAAAATTTGTACCGCCATTTGCTAAACTGTTATCTTGTGATAACGACCCTATTGGTTTTCAAATTGAAATGGCGTTCGTTTTGTATTCTGCTTGTCGAGTATGGACAGTACTCGTTCCAGCAGTGAACGTACTGCTGGAACAAGTACCACTACCACAAAAGGTCGGTCTGCCATATTGGTAAGTACGCTCTGAGCGTAACTCGTTTTTTTTTTTTTTTTTTGTTTTTCTCGACTTTTCGTTGGCGTAATAGTAACAAAATAAATTTTTAGCCTGCTTTTTTTTTTCTTTTTTTGAAAATTAGATTTAAAAGTCAATATAAAAAATAAAGGGTGTGAGAAGGTCGCGGGGACGTCACTGCCCAGCATAAAAATGTTTCGACAACCTGGGGAAAGACTTCAACATCTTGTCGCGGTGTCAAGGGGAAGTTGTGCAATCCGGGTCGCGACGAGTAAAATATAATGCCTAGAACGTATTCTGTACATTATTATCTTTGAATAGTTTAAAATGAATGATAACTCCAAAGAAAAAACAGTTAGGGCGCAGGCGAGCTGGTGTAGGTTTACCATTTTTTTAGACCACCTGAGACTGGATGGAAGAAGCATGACGACGTCTCAAGACGTCGTCGTGTTTTTTCTACCCAGCCTCAGTTGGTCTAAATAAAAAAGATAATTCCAAGACGGGCAAGAACAAAATGCAGTCACTGAGGAAAGCATTGTGCCCAGTTCTAAATTTATTTCTTACGTGTATTTTTTTTAACGTGCCATTAATTACCCGAGGGTGGGGTGCTGCCGGCACGTAAAAAAAGGCAAAAAAAAAACTAGAACCGTTATAGATAAGACGTTCAAAAAGAAAAGAAGGGGGAAGGAGACATGGCACGTTTCGGGCGCACGCCCTCGCGTTCTTATCCTTTCTCCTTTTCGCATCGCATAGTCTGACAAAGAGCGTGCGTCCAAAACGTCGCTTGGTTTCCCCTTCTTTTTGCACGTCTTTTCTCCGACGCTTAGTTTTGTGCCCGTTATTAATCCAACGTGTCTGCATAGTGTATTGTTGAATGTCGCAACTTTGGCGTCATTTCAGTTGTGGGCGTCGGCAACTCTGTTTAAATTTAGCGCCGGTAGTAGCGCTGCGCCCCCTACGTTAGCCGCACGAGAAGCAAAAGCTTGCGCGTCGCCGCGAAGGTATTTTCGGTGCGTGCGGTACGGTAGCTTGCGACGCTTCGTAATCTGGTTGCTCGTTGTTGCACTAGTTGTTGCACGGGGATGCGAACTGCTTACAAACACGAGCACGTGTTTTGAAGAAGTTAAGCTATTTTAATTGCCTATGCGGAGGGCAAGTCGTCTGCTGCTTGCGCAGGGGTTGTGGTGACGTCAGTACGACGCCGCGGTATGATTGGCTTTGATTGGAGGGATAGTGGGTAGACCTCAATGCTAGATACCCAAAAATCTACCATTTTTTTTTTTTTTTTTAAATTAGCCAATAAGAACTCGGCGTTCCTGACATCATCGCGACCCCTGTTCAAGAAGCATAACAACGCTTAATAGTAGTAGTAATAGTAGTAGTAGTAGTAGTAGTAGTAGTAGTAGTAGTAGTTCAAGAAGCAGACGCTTCTTGAACTACTACTTGCGCAGTTGCGCTTTGCATAAAGAATTAGTGAACTGACATAGGCCTTGGGGCCTATGTCAGTTGACTAATTCGCCTTATGCACCAATGACTATTCGCAGGTGTTTACTCCCTCGAAAAATTAGAGTGAATAAGAAAGAACAAAATAAAAAAAAAATATATATGTATATATGCGTACATTTTTTCGTATTACATTCACATTGTTTCAGGCGTCACAAACTGCGGGCGCTGTGGATGCCATATCATCTGCCACTGCCCTGTTGCATCAGCAAAACAATTCCACGAGTGGATACTCCTTCAGCAAATGTGAGTTGACCCAAACTTTTAATGGTATCCTAGGTCTGTGTCGCTAAAAACAGTCGTAAACTCGTAACACGTTGATACTGTCCGCACCAAGTCAGTACTCGAGAAAACTGCTAATAATTCACTTTTTGCCATTAGAAAACAGTCAATGAGTTTTGAATAAACGAATTTTTTGAAGGTTTTAAAAATAAATTTAAAAATAATAAAAATAATTTAAGACTTTCGCTAAATTTCGCCAATGTGCAAGTTTCTCTGGCAACAATGGGAATACATATGACGGTAGACATACGGGAAAAATAGAACCACTAGAATTTGCGTGGCCAATGCGGGCGGCCATGTTGCAACACCCTAAGTTTATACTCCTACTCGTATGGTAGAGCACGAAAGTCTGGCCACAATGTACACCCCACCAGCGGGCGCTCAGCAGCGCTTTCATGGTGGAGGGATCTTATTACTGCAACGACTCGGCCACTTATTGCTTATCTATAGATTGCGAAAGTAAAATAAGAACCAAAAACTATGTTCATAAAACGGAAAGCTAACGTTTTAATTCTGACTTTTGACGCCGTCGAGCTAGCTTGAGCGGCTTCCTGGCCGTTTGCGTAGATGAAGCCGCTCAAAATCCAACATGGCGCAGGCCTTTAGCTCATAGCGTTCATCTTCGGCTATGCCGTACCGCTGAACCCTGCCGCGGTTCCGGCGGTACCGCTCCCGCGGTAGGTTTCACTTGGAAATTTACGGTTCGCTCGTGCTGTGCCACTTGTTATGGCAGATAATTATAAGTTCTGCTTGCCTACCTTGTGCCCAGCAGTTGACAGTCCGTTACTTGTCATCGGCGTCTTCCAGGGAATCGAAACAGATGCAGCATTTTTCGCTCTCGTTGACGCATTTATTCAGTGATTTGCATCACAGAGAAAAATAATTTATTCCTTGTCACTTTAAACAAGCGTTGCTATGCTGAAAAAAAAAAAAAATAATACGCGCAGTACCTACGTTAGCAAGAGGTGCTACAGTGAAAATAAAATGTGCGACACTGTTAGCGGGAACACGACATAGTGGTTTTGCACTTTAAATGGCTATCGGCGGGCACCAAATATTATTGCTTAAGTTAGTTCGCCATATGACTGTTTAATTTGGACACTCTGGTGTAACTATGGTGCGAGAATATCTGTTTCCGCGATTTAAAAACAAAACCGTCACACAGTGGCATAGCCTGGATTTTATTTCGGGGGGAAAGGGGGGGGGGGGGGGGGGGGTAGAGAGGGTACAATGGCATGAATCCCCCCCTATCTCCCTTACCACACCCAATGACTAAGGAGGGTGAGCTCGGCGGTACGGACGCTCGCGCAAAAATTAGGGAGGCGCTGTTACGATAAAACGGGTAAAGCTGCATTGCCATTTTTGAAAACGGAGCAGGCTTCATTTACAGAAATACTAGTGTGGTAGCTCACTGTTCTACTGTCGTTGTTCTTGCGTCCCACCAACTTTAAAAGCTTCCTCACCGCACACAACTCCCCCCACTTTTTGAGGTAGCACTGCATTACCAATGCATGAAGGCTAGACAAAACACAAGGATAGCTGTAGACCAGTGTCTGCTCTGTTCTATGAGCGCCGCAATGCTTGTTTATGCTGTTGCAATGACACAGTGAAGGGGGGGGGGGAGGGGGGGCGGCTGCACATTTTGCGACACTCTATTCTTTTTTTTAGAAACCTTCGCACATATCATAGTGCAGGAACATCGGAAAGGCATAGTCACGAAGTACAACACCAATGCCAAGAGTGCTGTAAAGAGCAAAAACCTTGTTTTATGTGCAACCCCCCTCTTCACAAGAGCCTGCGCTTGAGATTATTATCCGATGCCTGTCGCTTGTGCTGTCAAGTTGAACCACGAGTTGAACCAATTTTTTCTTGGTATGGCTACCGAGATGCCCATGAGATGGACCAGCCTCTTCTTTGTTCTTTCTCATCTTTGCTCTATGTGTGTTCTCTATCCTCTCTGGATCTGCACAGAACAATGTAAGAGCACAGTAGTTTGTCTCGTCACAACACACGCTTGCAGAAGAGAAACAGGGCTACAAAACATTCCGTAAGGCTGCTCCTACTATCCTTTTTTTATTTTTTTTATTATCATCCTCTTTGCCCAAGCCATTCTCGTTTTACATTACAATTGACCCTAGATTAGACTGCGTAGGTCACTATGGCAGAACCTAGCATGCTGATGGTTACATATTCAGCTTGATAGGTTGGCCAGCAATCAAGTGCACATCACAAAAAAAAAGTGACCACGGACACTACCTTTTGTTTACTGGGGTTTTCTGTCCGTGAGGCTTGTTGACGTGATTTCTATCTCTTCAGAATTTGTATGGATACACAAAAAACACATAATGCGAATGTTGCTATTTTATGTGCAACAAACAAAAAATGCCTAACGTGAGTTTTAATTGTTTTGAGGAGAGTGCGTTGGTAGGTTTAAAAACTTGCGAAGGAAATAAACATAGAAGGACGGACACCACATATCACAAAAGCCCTGATGTCTGTGTTCTGCCCTTCTATGCATAATTCTTTCGAGAGTTTGAAAGTGTCTTTCAAAATTAAATTATTTAACTATCCAGCTTTCTATTTATTTCTGAAGGAAATAAAACATGGTAAACCAGTCGCAGGGCTGTCAAACATCTACACGAGATAAATTAATAAAATCAGGCAGATATAAGATATGAACTCTTTGAAATATAAAACTGCGAGAACAATATATATAAACTACCATTTGCTCGACGGGGATTTACACTATAGTGCACGACATCGACGAGAGGTAGAGGAAGTGAGATTGCGCCAACAGATCATAAAATAGTTGCAGGACGGTCTTCATCCACAGAACCATGTGCTAAAAATGCTCACCGAAATGTGTGCAGTGCGATGAAATCGCGGTATTTTGTCAACTTCAAAAATGAAACAATATATTCAATTACCTAAAATAGTACATAGCCCTCAAATGGTGCAATTTGTGGCTGGAAGATCAGCTTGAAAAAAGTTTCAGTTGGATTGAAAACTTTCGAGCTCACCGTCTTCAGTTGGGATCCGAACGAACTGGTGCTTCTTGTCTCCAAAGCTGCTTGCACACCGCTTTGTGTAATTGCACGAATGAGGTAGTTCAAAGACAAAAAGCTTTACACTCGCCCGAAAGTCCGAGGCTCGCGCAGAGCGGTGATTGATGCGTCAAAGGCGAGCGAAGGTACGAAAGCACCAAGCAGACGTACGGACGCCACTGCAACGGTCCACCGGTTTCGGAGCGCACATGCGCACAGGCAGTGGCTTTGTTTCAGAAGAAGTGCAAAAAACAAAAGGGCAAAATTTAAGGAGTGCAATCTTGACACAAACTTAAACAAAAATGTTATGTTCTTAGGAATACATAAATTGTAATTAGTGAAATAATATCTAGTTAAAACTAGAGCTGAATTAAGTTTGATTCATTACTGTTTTCTTTAGTTTTTAGCAATGAGTGCCTCCCACCAGACGAGCATGCTGTACACCTAAAGCCCCTTCATGTTTCAAAAGCGGCGCAAGGTTTGTTGATGCACGAGGCACGTACAGCCCTTAAGGAAGATCATGACGGCACAGCGCAGCACTGAGCGTGATTTCAGACGCCGCGACACATGTCTCGAGCATCTCCACAACAATAAATGGCACCACTTTTCCCAGAATAGGGGGGCTTTATGTACACCCTGATGGTGGCGCCATCCGTGGTCGCGCCGCACAACTCGCTTTTTTTCTGGAGGTTGCCCAAGCCCCGCTGTCCCAGTTTTCTGCGTTGCACCTCTGGAAAGAGTCCTGGCATGGGTTTGGACGGTGCCATTAATCACACAGATAATAAAATCTGGTACTTCAGCAAACCTTAACATCATGTACTGGTGAAGAAAAATGCTGTAACTAAAGCAGTTACTTTTAGAATGATAGTAAAGGCACAATCTATTCGGCATAACCCTAATAACTAAAGTGATCCATGTTATTTTCCGGCAAAAAGACAGAATGCACGCGCATTTTCCCAAAGAAATGTTCAGGAGTACCGGCAGAGTAGGCTGGTCACTGTCTGCTTCAATTTGCATCCCGAAAGTCGCTTAGGCACGAGCGCCAGTTGAACCTCTAGCTTGCATTATAATAACTTTATGCTCACTAGCTGTCTTTGACAGTTGACCGACTGCATGTGTCTTTGACGTAGATGTAGCTGATGTACTGTAGAAGATTTTGAAAGAAGGCCACAAGCTTTGGTCGCATGTTTAAAACTTTTATGTAACTATCACATTTTTATTAAGCTAGTAAAAAAGACCACATTTTTCCTGAGATTTTCCCCTAGCCATGAAAACCTGGCAACAGAAGATGAGAGGGACTCATGATTATTGACGAAAATCTGGCAACAACTATAGAAGTTTCTTTTGTGCAGCCACGCAAAATTGGGCAACAACTTGAAGTTTGTATTGTGCAGCCACATAGCAATATACCCTAACCATATTTTGCTGAACACTTGTTTTTTAAAAATATTTTGTGTTTTGATCCTTAAAAGACAATTTTTTTTTATGCACTCTGTGAACATCGATAGCATCACAAATATAAAACCTAATTAATTTATTATTAATGTTTTAGGTCGCTTGGCGACGAGATTTATCATCCAAGAAGGCTAAAACAGTGTACGTAAAGTTTGATTTAGTGAGTCATGAAAGTCTGCCAACATGAAAATAGATACAAACCACAAGAGCTTGGCAACAGTTGCTAGTTGATGGGTGTGGTGATGTTACTTAAAGTATGAATAAAAACAAAATTAAGCACATTTTTGTTTTATCGGGTCCAAATATCAAGCTTCTTGGTGCAAGATATAAAATATATTTTTAGGCCCAAACATAAACTGTATTAAGCCAATTTCAAATTGGGAACAAAATGGTTTGGAAGCCTCATAACGCTAATATTTTTTGTTCAATTTTAAGTTTACGGATGAGAGTTAGAAAATA